AAAGGGGAAAATCGTGTTGGTGAACACGAATCAATAGATTAAATTAATTTCGTGACTATAACACGAAATGCTGTGAGACTGGGTTATATAGTGATAGTTCTTGAGGGTCTGGTCATAACAATACTCTTATATTTCTTCATAGTAACTTGCCATAAACTGACGGTTCTTTTCTTTTTGTTTATTTATATTTTTTGTGAAGATGTTTCTATCGTTTTTACAATAGCTTTTTCACGTTATTTCCATTCTTTATGCTAACTGGCTGCTGCCTCCATCTTCATAATGACTCTGTAACAGTGTGCTGTAAACCACACTTGAAGCTTTACCAGTAGCAGTGTCACGTAATATCTCCTGATTGACTACACGTCTTTTCATGCTACAAGTCTCTCTTTCAGATCAAAAGCCATATTTTATAGGCCGAAACCTTCAAAGCATGTCATATCCTGTAGAGATGATGAAATTATTATGAAGCACTGTGAAAGTGACATTTGGCAGATGGACTGTATTCATCTTTATCACTGCAGAGTTCCTGTACTACTTTCCTTAGATAAAACATGAACCACATCCTCTGCCTAGAATTTGAGACTGTGACAAGTGTTTTAGCACTGATATATAAGTGAAGTGACTGAAACTTGAGTCCATTAGACCAAAAGTTTTGTGTTTTCATTTTGTGAGACAAAGTTGCCAGGCAATTCAACATTTTGTAAAATATGTTGCATGTTTAAACGTATTGACTTAACTTGGGCTGCCTTTGTAATGATTTTAGTACACTTCTTTATAAGTGTAAAGGAAATATCAGCTCATGTTATACAACATTGCCACAAAGGTGAAAAAGGAAGGAATTTCTTCAATCCATTTCTTTTATATGTACTTCCCAAACCCCCTACATCTTCCCTGGATCTCTCTCCCTCTCTCTTTCTCCCCTTTCGTCTTTCGTCTCTGGGAGTATGGGTGCATGTCAAGTGATTGTTGAATTGAAATATTGATGTGGAGTATCAAAGCGTGGCGTAGCACTCCTGTGTTTCCAGAACTAACCACGAAGCGCTTTGATCAGATACTCCTGTGATCTGACTTCTGAAGTTGTTAAGAGTGCTGGAAAACAAAATGCAAACAAACTTCAAGTGCTCTTGGTATTGATAAAAGTTTTCTTTGACAAGTGGGGATGTGTGCTGTCTGCCCAAGACTAGAGATTTGGGGGTTTTTGTACATGCTAATGGACAAGAGATGAGGGAATTATTGTAGTTTGCTACTTCTCACAAGCCTACAGATGTAAACTGTGGGAATCAAAACGAAATCCTGCTGTGATACCACGGCATGAGAAGTAATGAAAACATATTGCAATTCTGAGATTTGTGATTTAATTTTTGTTATTTTTTTAATTATGCATGTTAGGATTTGTTTGCAGCAGAAAAAAGCTTAAAATAAATATAGAGTGATAACAGCTTAAGATATCCCGTTGAGATATGTTTAAATATATTATTTAATTAATTATGAATTGATGTTTAAAGTATTTTCCTGATATTGAAATACTCTCCAAATATAGAAATACATATATTCATACAAAATAACTGAATGATTTGAATGAACTGATGTATTCCTTCAGAATGTATTCATTTTTGCATAACCTGCATTTACCTTTGTGGCAGAAGAAGACGTTTTTATCAGTTTATCCATCTCCTTCTTCCAAATAAATAAACATTTGTATTTAAGATGAGTTTTAGTAAAAAAGTATGGATTGCCAGACATGAAACAGTCCTCAACAATAGTTCACAGATGGAGGAGGACTTGATCTGCTCAGATGACGAAGCACAACAGAAGAAATAACATGATGTGACTAATGTGAAAAGTTTCCACATTGCATCCTGATCGATGTGATTTCTCCAATGCACTACTGAGGGGGCGCATTAGATTTAGTAAACCTTATCAATGTGCCTGATTGTGAGCATCAATGTCTCTTTAGTATCTCTCTGCCCCCTCCCTTTGAAACACTAACACACACATTTCTAACTCAATAGGAAACAGGAAAGAGACTCCTGAATGAGCTATCAGATTGTTGCATTGTAAAGTCCAGCTGTTGGTGCTGCTGCTCATCCCAATGAAACTGAGTGTCATGGTAATTACGGCCCATCTTGTCCTGTCTTGGATTTGAATGGTTAAAGAGTGAAGCACTTCAGTTAGAAGCAGGCTTTTCATGCTGTCTGTCTCATCCATTAGGCTGCATTTGTCACATGAGGGCAATTGAGTCAGCACGGTGCTGTAAAATTGGCTTTTTGACATGGCCACCAGTACAAAAGCCGCTTTCCTCTGCGGCTGCCCTTTCGAGTGCAGATGGTCAAGACAGCTGGGACAATTTAGTGATCTGAGGCTTTTAAACTGCCCCCCAGGCATGATAAAAACAGCTTGAGCAGCCACTCGCATATTCTACGTTCTGAGCTTAAGAGTAAGATTATGTTTGCAACAAAAACAGCACCATTTGTTTTTTGTTGTGGGCAAAATGACTTAAAACTCAGGTGATTTCAGATCATTAAACTCCCTGAAAAACACTGTTGTTATATGTGCTCTTTTTTCTTGAGCTAATTTTCTGTTTAGTAATAGGTGCATAAAAGTGTCTGCATCGCCTTGTTGGGATGTAGCCTGTGTTGGTTTTTGAAGTTGAATTTTCTGGTAGCCACCCAGTCAGAGCAGCCTGCAGTGTATGACGGAGGGAGCGGGCCTGATTAGCAGCAATCTCACCAGCTGTTTAATGAACACAGGGACCTCTTTCTCTGGAAATGAGTTTTCCCTTGAAAACTGTGCAAGCCGTATCCAGGTCTATTTAAATGAGGTAACATGGGGAAGGTAAGCACCACCACATGAGCATTGTTTTCACAGTTCAAAGTGAGGAGAGAGTACTTTGCACTTCAAAGCCACTCATCTGGGAGGCAGTACAGTGGGGGTGGGGTGGGGTGGTGTGGGGGAGAGGGGACAGGAAATAAGAATCAGGGTAATTAACAACTTCTGCTCCGTAATAAACCAGAGACACAGCAAACCTCTGCTTCCAAGATACACTCCTATTTTCATGTCCTCCGATCTTTCTTTACTACGGGTTTCTTTCATCCTAAATGTTCACTTTCATTTGGAATTAGACTATTTTCCGCAATGCTGTTGGAGTTACATCACATGTATTAATATTTGCATAAGGAATTTGTTTCAAACTAAATCATGTTATTGATTTATTATTTTAAATGCATGTGTTTTATATGTTTGTTTTTTTATTCCTACATTTCGAGCGAGAGCTATTAGGAAACACTTTGAAATTATAATTAATTAAGATAGATCTTTCCTATTGCTTTTCCTAAATCTAATATAATTGCATATGCTTTAACACTCTGTAAATATTTTTTAGAGTCTTCATTTTCATTTCTTCTTTCCATAACAGTTTTTTTTAGATTTGCTCAATTTTGTTACTATATGAAGGAAAAAAAAGTGTGTGATTTTAGCACGCTGCAGCTGAAGTCTGCACGTCAATAAGAGCATGGACTAATATTTTGTTTTAAAATGAGCTGTCTCTCTGTCAAGGACATCATTTAAAATGCATCCTGTCGTATCTGCTCTCACACTAATAACTTTAAAAAGTCCTGAACCAAATACAGTTTACTGACCATCTTCAATACCTTTAATTATTTGTAACTGTCAAGTAAAAATTACTAAGACATTGAATACAAACACCTTTACGTTTGTGCCCAAACTGAGATTTTTTTTTAAGTTAATGTATTTCTAATTCTAACTGGCTCCTCCTTAAGGCATGTTTATTTAAGGATCACAGACTGTGAAACAGGGAGCAGTGGGTAAGTGAGGAACCAGGAATTTACATGAGAAGCAGGTTCCCAGCCTGGATTTAAACTCTTAACATTGTAATGGTGAACAGACTTACAGAATGAGATTAAGCCTCAATCTGCATTTAATGGAGAAGATCTGAAGCGGCCTCTACTTGAACTCTGAAATGTGAGAATGTCACACAGGGCAGCCTATTTGACATGTCACCCACTGGTGAGAACTCAGAGGCTTTGATTGAGTTTGATCAGTTAGCTTTGTGAGGGAAAATACTGTCACTGTGTTCATGGTGTGTGAGCCTTACGCCTGCTAGGCCGGGAACTGCCTGCCGACAAACAAAAAGTGTCTTATGTGACATCTGGAGAAAATACCAAACAATGGAGTAAACTGCTGTCAATGTAAATATTAATTGTTGTCCAAAACAGTTCCTAATCATCAATAATATTACTGTTAACATCACCTAAGCAAAAACATGCATTAACTCAAACTCACATTGTAAAATGTCCAATTTGACCATATCTAAAGTGCAAGTGTGAATCTATGGTTACAGGAAATTAAGTAAGAAAATGAACACTTGTTTTGCCATTTTTCTATCCTTTGTTGCATGACGTTATGCAAGATGTGAGGATACAAAGGAAAAAGTACTTTTTTCCCCTCCTGTAAGTATGAATGTATTGTTCCCATACCTCTGTTTGTTTGCATATAATGTTGACTGTAGATTGCCAACGTTTTCATTCAAAACTGCATCACTGGTTGTTGCCAAAAATATAAAATCCATGTATCTACTATCTTTACTTGAATTCCCACAGTGGATTTGAAGCTGCATGTAAAAACTCCCATAGTGGGAAATATTTGACTACGTTGGCTATTTTAATCTTAGAGTTTATCACAGTCTCAGCATATTGTGGTTCTAAATGTAGAAAAAGAAAGTTGCTGAAACACTAAACAATTTGAAATGTTTTTTCAAAATCATGCATGCACCTTTTCTTTATTTAAAGAAGTGGAAAATACCATGGGATGTCCGGAGAAGTTCAAACTCTCAATTTAGATATCACAGGAAACCTCTTATCATGCTTTCTTTTTTCAGAACAATTGGAGGAGGAGTCAACACTTGAGGTCAGCATTTGGTTGAAATTGAGTGAAATGATGAGTAGCCCACCCCTTCACCTAACAATCCCCCCCTCCTTCCACCCTCACATCTCCCCTCTATTGACTCGCTCTCCTGCATCATACTGGAGACCCCGTTGAGAGGATCTTTTCACTCTATAAAGAGAAGATGCAGCTCAGGCGCTTTTGAGATGATCGCAAGGATTTACTGCGCGCCTCTCTGCCTCTAACTTCAGACCTCTCTGCTCCAACCGCAGATTGTCTGGACTGCTCGCACACTGACAACAATTACCTGGCGGACTGAGGGACATTTCAGTGACGCGGGATATTTCAGTCTACTTTCCCAAGGAGTCATCCGAGAGCATCTTTTCTTCTCTTCTGCACCCGAGCTGTAGTTGAGACTTTGTGCTTCGTGCCTCTCGGCGCAGTTTGTGTTGCAGGTGCGTGGAGGAGCGCGAGGACAGATGGCTGCGCTCGCGATACAAAGGACTGACAACTTTTTGCACACCTTCTTACAGGTTTGTTGTTTAATCATATATTTGAGCTTTCTATTATTTGATTTAGTGGTGGTGATAGTCACCGCTCGGCAACTTGTGTGTATTGAAATAATATGCTTCACAAGATTGAACTGTGTGAAGATGTAAGCTTATCATAGTGGTAGAATTGAAAATTGAAAAATCGGAGTTCCAGAAAAGACAGAAAAACCCAATTAGGGTTATTTAAAAGTTTAAAATGTATCTTTCTTTCAAACTTCTTTGCTCAGATATAGTGCCAATATCCTATGATAGTGTAATAAAAATTAGGTCATATTATTTTTAAATGAATGAAGATTTAATACTTGGACTTGTCTTCAGTGTGGCTTATGATGTATTTTTGTGTATCACCAAACAGGACAGGACGCCCAGCTCCTCCCCAGAGGGAGCCCCCAACGCCCTGTCCTTCCTGGCCACCACCTGTAGCCAGGCCTGGCAGGTGGGGGGTGCGATGGGCTCAGAAGGTTCCCAGTTCCCCTACGAGAGCACCGTCAGCTCCACAGCGGGGATGTTCCAGCTCTGGAGCAACGAAATGGCGCCCAGCTCAGCCCTCAGCACACACCAGATGACCTTCACGGTGCCCAAGGTGCAGTTTCCCGGACACATGCAGCCTAGTCTGGGTCACCATCATCATCACCCCCATCATCACCACCACCATGAGCTGCCTCTCACCCCTCCGGCTGAACCACCTTCTTCTTACTCTTTTGAACTCTCCCCCGTCAAAGTGCTGTCCTCACAGTCGCAGACCACCGGCTCCTATTACCCTCAGCACAACAGTGTGGCACAAAACTTCCCCAGCTTCCTCCAGAACCCCTCGGCCCGGCATCACCTGCCCGGAGGCCATATGGACGAAGGGCAGCAATGGTGGAGCCTACCTCAAACCAACGCCACCCCCTCCAACCATCACTTCTCTCTGGGCAGACAGCTGGTTTTGGGCCACCAGCCACAGATAGCTGCTCTTCTCCAAGGCACCTCCAAAGGCCTCCTGAGCTCCACACGCCGCTGCCGCCGCTGCAAGTGCCCCAACTGCCAGGCAAATGGAGGGGGGTTAGAGTTTGGAAAGAAGAGACTGCACATCTGCCACATCCCAGAGTGTGGCAAAGTGTACAAGAAGACCTCTCACCTCAAGGCACATCTGCGCTGGCACGCCGGGGAGAGGCCCTTCATCTGTAACTGGCTCTTCTGCGGGAAAAGCTTCACCCGTTCAGACGAGCTACAGCGGCACCTCCGCACACATACCGGGGAGAAGCGCTTTGGGTGCCAGCAGTGCGGCAAGAGGTTCATGAGGAGTGACCACCTCTCCAAACATGTGAAGACCCACCAGACCAGGAAGAGCCGGTCTGCGCAGCCTTCACAGAGCACGGACCCGCTGCTCACCAATATCAAGAGAGAGTAATCCACCATTCCACAATAATAATCAACTATGAACAGACTGTGTTACACTTACTGCCATAGGTTTGCACTAGAGGGTGAGCATCAAGCTCCCCGAATATCTTCTGTTGTCGAAGCCCTACTTTTGACTTCAAGTAGTACCGTGAAAATATATTTAGAGACCATCTTTAAAAAGGTTATCATGTTCTTTTTGAGGCAAGGCAGCTTTAAAGATGAATTGAAGTTCCTTTTCAGTGATATTTCAAGAGTTGTGCTGAATTTTGTCTACTTCAAAATGCCACAAAAAACTATTTCTCCTGAAACAAGAAAGGTATTGTGCCTTAAATACTTGTTTAAATTTGAACTGATAGGAAAATGGAAAAATCTTAAACATTAATTTTGTAAATATTTTGTGAAGGATGTGCCAGACATAAGCGAGTTCCACAAGGTTTACCTTAATATGTCCATATTATCATGTTCAAAATAAATGTATGCCTTACAGCAGAAGGTTGCTGAATAGAAAACTATAATTTCGGCTCTTGAGAACAGGTTTAAAATGGAAAGAGCTTCTGTTGCTGTTAATTAGCTTTGTTTTCTCCAAAACAAACCCTAATTTGTCAGCTTCAAGGTAGGATCTTTTTTGAAATGTAAGTCTTTGATCTACAGATTTCTGTGAAGTACCACGGCTTCAGATTAGCAAACATTTTAAATGTTTCAATTCTTTGTAAATTATGTATAAATATCATGAACACTTTTATTATGGTTATGGCCGCATGTACATTTTAATAAACATTGTCTTTGCTGAAACGTACACTGTTTCCAATTATGTTATTGTCTTACCTTTAAATACAGTATCTGTGACTGACAGTGAAAGTTTTTTACCCTCTTAGCTCATACAGTAAACGTGTGAATTTCCGATGCCCCGGAGCTCCTAAAGATCTAACATTTTATTTAAATGATAATCTGATGGAATTCAGAATACAAATGCTGCATGCCTTTGTTCTGTTGGTGTGAAGGAAGAAGCTCCTAAAGAAGCCCTAACATGGTGGGCTGTTCAAAGATTCTCACACCTCAAAGTAAATACTCGATCCATTGATGGGGCTGTTTGTCTCGCCTGCTGCAATCAAGTTCACAGTCATGTGGCTTTTAATGAGTGTTTTCTTTCTCTCAATGGAGAAGATTGAGTCAACAGATGCAACAGAGGGCACTGGAGAGGAATTCCCTGTGAATGGGACCCCTGTTGCTGAGACCCCCTCAGTGGTGACAGGAACTCCCTTTGATTTTGCACCCTTGTGAAAGTTAATACCCCTTCCCCCCCTCCTCCATATATCACAGCCGTGTTACGATCGGCCTTGCTTTACTGCCCAGAAAGGGGCTTTATTCAGAGGCCAGCCAACCAGATGTCTGCTCATCCAGGGGTTTCTTTTCTTTGTTTTAATCCTGTTTGAACTTTCTGCAAGGGGGATGCTACAGCAAGCAAAATGCATTGCCTTTGTCTTCGTCAGAGGTTCCCAAAGGTAGAGTCAGAGGACCATGGCCTATGGCTAATAAAACTACTTTAGTTGCACTTTTAGTTAAATGAATACAAAATAAAAACATATTGAGTATGTGTCATTACCTCAGAATATAAAAATCCACAGCCACACAAAGATACGTCTCTGTGGGCAATAAAAGCAGTTATTTTAGAGAGAAACATAAACACCACACCCATTTTCATAAAGACTTTTTATTTGATATGATACAACAGTCAGTCAAACATGATGGCATTCACAAACCCTCTCCTGGTGTTGGTGTCTTTCTGGTTCTCCGTAATGGTTTTGCTTTGTATTAAAGAAAAACTGCCTGATCAGTCATTCCCATGAAACAGACAGTTTACATTAACTTCAGATGTATTTTGTGAGATGGTTCCACTCATATCTCACCTTGCAGTTCATTATATGTAGTTTATTACTGGGTTTTGGACAGATCATTGAGCAGCTTTTGCTTGATTGTGAGCACTGAAACATGAGGCCTCTTGATCTTTGGTGCAGCTGTATGATCAAACTTAAGTGGAAAGCCTTGTGGGGACCTCTACTGGCCACAGAGAAGAACGCTTATATAGTGACTAAATAGCCTCATTCATTTACTTGCTTCCCTCTGTGTGATTTAGGCGTTACGATCCAGATAGTAACACATATATCTATGATTAATTTGTAAGAGTACAGGCAAACTGAACTATAAGATGGACTTTTATTAATCCCTCGTGGGGAAATTGTTTCTCTGCATTTGACCCATCATAGTGTTAGGAGCAGTGGGCTGCCCGGGGAGCAGTGTAGGGAACGGTGCCTTGCTCAGGGACACCTCGGTAGCACTTGGTCTTGCAGGGACTTAAACTGGTGACCTTCTAGTTGCCAAGCCAAGTCCCTATCGACTTCGCCACCACCGCCCTATAAGTAAGAGCATGAAATACTTGAGTGGCGAGCTACTGTTTTTTGGCACTGTTGTCTGAGGAAGAGCATGCAGATCCACCAGCATCACTCTGTTTATCCAGCAACATCTTATCCTTCATTTTAACCAGCTGAAACGGTAACACTTCTTGGCATACCTGTCTTTCTTCATCTTACAAGTGGAAATGTATGATTTCCTTTATGGTATGCACTGTACAGTATTTAGTCCATGAGGGCAAAAGCTAAACAGAGATTATAGAAATGGTGCACAGCCTTGACATGACAACAGTGGACTAATAAAACAATTCATATAAGTTCAAACCAATGCACTTTTAAGGGTGTTTTCCCCCAAAATCACAGGTTCTCTGCCTAGAACGAAAGATCTGTGTAAAGCAGCATTGTGTCAGTCAATCACAACAGAGATGTTTCATGCAACACTTTGGGTCAGCACAGCAGTCCCTTTGAATGCACCTACTGTATCTCGCAACTCCTCAGGAGTTGCCCAAAGAGAGAAAAAGTATTCTGAAGTGACATCATTCCCACAGAGAACCTCTCGGGGCTCACTCACGCCTTTTTTGTCCAGATCAAACGAGGGCCGGTCAAACAGAATAAGAGAGCACCCAGGAGCTCTCAGCTATGTAGCAAGACAGAAACGTCTTCACTTTCAGATGAAATTCCACTGGCGTGTTCAGATCAAGTGTTCTGCCTTTCCTATACAACACAAACAGCAGTTGTCAGCAGGGGAATGACAAAATGTAGTAATGTGGCTGTACTTGTCTTTACAATGGGGCATCAGAAAAAAACCATGTTTATGAAGGATATTTACCAAAGATACAATAGGAGCTACTGCCACTCCTTGCACACTTTCATGCTTACAAACACATCCACACATTGTTGCATAAACAAACATTCAGGCACACATGTAACTCCAGTGACCGCCCCAAATAGGAATGGATATTTCTTCATCAAACAAATTCCCCTTGCCCTTTGAAAGAGAGAAGATATTCAATCTCTCAAAAAGGTAGAAAGCACAAATTGTCATACCAGTATCACTGGGTAGTGGGTACTGTCAATGGACACTCAAAAGTGGCCAAGGCTGCCCATTAAATGGCTCCCTAAAAAAGTAATTTCATAGTTTCAGCCAATAATTCCTTCATATGTTCCCTCAGGTTCCTTCAGTATCCTCCATAAGTTATGACTGAACCAGGTAAGGGTCCAGCCTGGCATTAACAGACAGTGGAGAAGTATTCGTGTCTCCTCAGTTGTGGCGTTAGCTGCTGTCCTCCTGCCCCAGGAGACAGAGAGCCTCAGAGTTCATAGGTCGTCCTCAGCAAGCTGAGCCAGGTTGCTGGGGCGACGTCCGGCCGAGGGGCCCGACAGTGGAGCCTGGCTCCCAGCATCAGCAGGCGGCCCCCTCCGGCAGCCCTCTCCTGCTCTCTGCTGGGGATAGAGGGAACATTCATCACAACGTACTTCCATGTACTGCACATATTCACTCATAATACTGTAGGTTCACTTTTATATCAAACAAGAAACTTAATTTAACGCAATTTTCCAATTAAACCTGCAGTCTGAAAATGCATTGGCCCAGGTCCGTCCTTTCATCCCAGCACAAGTATGGGAAACCATTTTCTGGCTTTGATAGGCATCTCTCTCTGACTTCCTCGTCTGGCTCAGCTAGCTTCCTGTTTATTATGTACCGAGCCTATCCAGCCTGAGTAAACAGTGGGAAGTATGGAGAACAACAACTGATGGGCTGTCAACACTGAGGACATCAGCCCAGTGATGACAGAGGGAGACGTCACTAATGGTAATGTAAAGCCCAACAACAGGATGCTGCCATTATTGACTGGCCAGATGGTTAAAACTACAGGGTAAAGGCAGATAGGCGTGAAATGGAACCTTGTTGTATTTTGTGTAAAACAGAGATGTGGTAATTTCCCGTCTTTGTATTCAACTAACTGAAACCAGCACAGCTAAAAGTTAATCAGTTTCCTTCAGAACTTTCCAGATATTTATCGATTCCCTTTTCATCCAATAGGGGGATAAGTAAATGGGGCGAAGCCTGCGAGCTAGTTCAGGCAGTCAACTCGAGCACTTATGCTGCATTCATACATAACGCCCCTTGCTTATTGCTTGCTGCTGCTATTGCTGCAGCTACTTCCACACTTCCATGCTTCCACATCGGTGCTGCTTGCCTGCCCCACCACCACCCCAGCTTCCACCTGTAGGCTCTGGGGTTAGTTATTTAATCATCACTCATCGGGCTATGTATATCTGTGGAGTGATGAGGCCCGAGCCTAGACGCCAAACTCAACTATATGCTGCTTCTAATAAACATGTTAAAGAAACACATGAGTTGTCTGACTGAACTCTTCTTATGATTAAAAAAACCCTTCACTGTATTTGTGTCTTAATAAATGGTTAACATATATTTTGTCTTTCATCTTTTAATTACCCTAATGAGCACAGTGGAATGATGGTAAGATGTTGTACAATAGCCCATTATTCCCTATGTGGTTAACTTCCTGTTTTGTCATTAATCATCCCACTGCTGGTGTTGAATAATGACTACGATACAACCCAGGAGCACCCAGTTTAGCTATGTAAATAATTACAGTTGAAAGGATATCATATTCACAGCTTAGTCTCTATATGCATGTGTATACACTACCTGTGCACTTTGTGTGGTGGGTGTGTACATCCCATTTGACACAGCTTGACTGTTTGGCTGGTCAGTGAAGCCCAGTTGGACATGTGACAGAGAAACAGTGGTGGAGTCAGCAGGGCACGGCTGGACCAGGGTGGGCTGCAGAGGCAAACAACAGGTAAGTCACTCAGCAACACTGTAGTGCATGCACACAATATCATTTGTTATTTTAATCATCCCATATGTGTGACAGTACAGACGCCCAGTCAAAAAAGCTTAAAGGTCTCCTATCATGCAAAATGCACTTTTGTATGTCTTTTATACATAAATATGTGTGCCCGGTGTGTCAAAAAACAAAACCCTCAGTTTTTTCCTTCATACCCATATCTCTCTCTATATATCTCTATATATATATATATTTTTTTTTTTTAGAGATACGGACCCAGAATCAGCACTTAACAGGGCTGAAATAGAGGAGTATGAGGCATGGCTAGAATGGGTTCTGTTTGGTATTTTGAGAAAAACACTTCATAGACATGTTTTCTATATATTTGTATATATCTGAGACCTATAATATATGTTAAAAATAGTATAATAGGAGACCTTTATGAGATAACGGGCCTGGCTGTGTCTCAGGTGTCTCATAAATAGAAATACTGTGTTTGAGTGAGCAGACGCAGCAGAACATTGTCACAGTATAGGGCACAGAAGGAGACAGCTAAAGAAACCTACTTC